ATCATCAGATATTGTTGCTAACCATTATCATTGATAAGACATTTATATCATCAGATATTGTTGCTAATCATTATCATTGATAAGACATTTATATCATCAGATATTGTTACTAATCATTATCATTGATAAGACATTTATATCATCAGATATTGTTGCTTGATAAGACATTTATATCATCAGATATTGTTACTAATCATTATCATTGATAAGACATTTATATCATCAGATATTGTTGCTAACCATTATCATTGATTTTATATCAGAGATATTGTTACATTATCATTGATCATCAGATATTGTTGCTAACCATTATCATTGACAAGACATTTATATCATCAGATATTGTTGCTAACCATTATCATTGATTTTGTATTTATATCATCTGATATTGTTGCTAACCATTATCATTGATAAGACATTTATATCATCAGATATTGTTGCTTTATATCCATTATCATTGATAAGACATTTATATCATCAGATATTGTTACTATTCATTATCATTGATAAGACATTTATATCATCAGATATTGTTACTAATCATTATCATTGATAAGACATTTATATCATCAGATATTGTTACTAATCATTATCATTGATAAGACATTTATATCATCAGATATTGTTGCTAACCATTATCATTGATAAGACATTTATATCATCAGATATTGTTGCTAACCATTATCATTGATTTTGTATTTATATCATCTGATATTGATTTTATATCATCAGATATTGTTACTATTCATTATCATTGATTTTGTATTTATATCATCAGATATTGTTGCTAACCATTATCATTGATAAGACATTTATATCATCAGATATTATTGCTAACCATTATCATTGATTTTGTATTTATATCATCAGATATTGTTGCTAAGCATTACCATACCAATAACATTCCTTCCTGCTTCCAAAAAAAAACAAAAATCATAATTAATTCAAGTTAGAATGAAAATTAAAAACTGATCAAATCTATCATCATACCAACATTCACCTTGGTAATCCATGACATCATCTAAAGCACTGCATTGTACACCATGTTGTATGAATTAAAAAAAATCATCAAACAAGTGCATTAACTATATCCTTACTTTTTAAAATAAAATTAACAACTTGCATGGAATTTTTCTTCATTCTGTTTCTTGACCTCACCCTTAAGTTAGGCCAAATTTTTAAAGAGGTTAGTATTAACAAGATCAAGTTATCTTCACATAGTTACATAGATTGAGCTTTCATGATTAAGTCCTTCTTTCATATGAAGTATATTTACATTACAACATATATGTTCCTGGTATATACATATATATGGCATTGGGCACTTATATGTTGCATGTAGGTCTCATATATCTGTATACTGTATATTAATTAAAGCAATTAATCTGTAACATTATTAAGCCAAGGTGCCACAGAAAATATATGTGTATATAAGTAGGTCGTTTATGAACATATTTTTTTATACAAAGGTTCTAATTGATTTTGGTCTTATGATAGAACTTTTATATGTATATGACACTGTTAACTTATCTGTTATATTTTGTAATTATCTGATGTATAATGTATGTAATAAAACTAAATCTAAACAGGCACTGGTGTAATAATCTGACATCATTTTTTGTATACCACAACATATACTGATCCACCCCCTCTATTTAGCTACATATTTACATCATTATCACCTGATAGCAGTAATGGTGTTTGGGTTAATTGCAATTCTAAACTAACCTTGACATCCCTACAGTACAGGTATCAAGTTTGATAGTATGTATTCTTGATATGATACGTACGATACCAGCTCAATTCAGTGTATTGAACGACAATAAGCCCATGCATGGTAATGCCACCACTCATGTATATTGCTGTTCAGTAATGTAATAAACCATGATTTTCCTGTAATAAACCTGTGCTTGCCGACTTCAGAGTACCAAGTGTTGGTCCTGGGGTTCATTGTAAGATAAATATGGTACCTTCTCAAGGTTTCAAGGTCAAAACTTTATCCTGCATCTAGCAGTACCATCATCGGAACATTCCTGTCACATCACTTTTGTTGTATTCAGCAGTGACAGAAAACAGCTATATCTTATATCAGCATTCTCAAGAATCACTTCCTGAATTACTGAAAAATTACATAACTGTATGTGTAAGATAAGAAAAACTATGAAACTAAGCAGTTTCGTATTTTGCCTTGAACAAGATTTTTTGGCTAAAGACACAATATTGCTGCTATATCCATTCAAGGTTGGACCTATATTCTGCGGGGAGCAGTATCTCAGTGTACATCATCATGTCAGAATCCGTGAAACATCAGGAAAATAGTTTTATCATCAGTAAACTGTTGAAGTTTCTGAATTTTCTATAAAAGCTGCAGGTATATTTACACTGTAAAAATATAAGATGAATATTTGCTGGGGATAGAAAGACAATTTTGTGGCTTGCCAAATTACAGCTGATATTTCACAGCACTGACTGTATTCTCTCTCTATATAGGATACCAAATTAAGAACAAATTCAGACAAAAGATATTGATAATACAATGCATTGCACGACATATTTTACATAATTTATCTTCTTGAAAAAACTTCACAAAACATAAATTCCTGTTCATATGTTGCCAACTCATATATTTGTCTAAAATAGTTTACATACACCAGTAACTACAGTCAGTAACTACTAAATACTACTGGTCACAACAGATAACTTATACATGTACACAGCTACATGACTAAATTCATGCTCATTTTTCATGGGATATTAGACTAGACGTCCATATCCTTTAAATGCTGAATATATTTTTACATGAAAGCATCACCATGAGCTCAGTGACATATATTGTCAGTGTATTTTGCAGTTATGTTAATATGTATACTACAGAGTAGTAGTATAGCTAGAGAAATCTCAACAACAGAGACTTTCATTGTTGTCTCTATAATCATTAAAGCTGATCATCCTGCCTCAGATTGGAGAAATTAGAAGAATTCACATACTATTATTTGATGTAAACACGTAATCTAGTAGTATAGATGTAGTTTATATATAAAGGGTTACAGGTTTGCTTTCCACTTAATTTGAATAAGCATTATACTTATAGTATTGTTTTTAAAGTTTGCTTTAACACTTTGAATATAAAAATCTTTTGTCTACCAAAATTAGTATATGCACAAATGTTCTTTTAATGTGAATGGTATGAGCTTTTTGTATTTTGACCTTATCAAATATAACATATCAAGGGAATTAATACTTAGTGTCAACCAAAGACTGCCTACATGTTTTAAAGTTCAGTGTGTTAAATACATAAATACACTTATTTGGGTTAAAGCTAATTTTACATGCTGATTCATGTCCTGTTATATGATCTGATTCTACTCTTTAATTTGAAGCAGTAAATAAAATCAATAGTTCAATAAAAAAAATCCAATTCAAGTTACAAATCTTTAATCTGTTTAAAGAAACACATACACTAGTTGTCAGCCTTTGGGATATTTCTTGCTTTTTTTTGTCAACATTTTATGTTTGAAAATATGCACATTCTTACATGCATATGTATTTTAAATGCTGAAGTAAGTATATTTTCTTTGTATTCATCCTTTTTGATATTTTGATTTTATGCCTACTTTATTGACTTGTATTCAATATTCCACGCATTATTTATAACACACCTGAAATCAAAATTAAACTAAATTCTGTTAATGCATGTATTCCTCAGTTAAGTAGATAGCAAAAATCATATTTATTTTATAAAACTCTGAACAGAATGATGCACCACATGTTGGTAGCTTGTAACATTATAGCATGCTTTCTACAGTATATTTGTAATAGCCTGAAGACAGATGGTGCCCGCAGCATGGTGTCAGTCTGTCCGACAGCTGACCATCAATCTCATATAACCATTAGTGTGTAAATAATCAAAGAAGCATGACATAGATTGACTGTAACACTTATATGTATAGCTTAGAAGAAATTGTTATTGCATAAAATATACTGTGTGATTCAAATTATGATATCATTGCCTTCAAGTGACTATCCCCATCTTAAGTATATATCAAAATAGCCTTTCTATTTCTGGCACAAGTACTGCAATGGTATGAAATAAGTATTTTTGTTTTGTTTTTGTTGAGCAATATAAGAACTTGGTGAAGAAAATTGGGAGAAGGGGACGAAACCCAAAAGTTATATACCAAGGCTATATTGGACACTTTGCATTGGCAGTAGAGTTATGAAATCATACTTCCTATCTGGGAAATAATTATTTACCTTGTCCTCAGAATAGCGTTGCTTGTGAATTAAAGTAAAATGCTAAGTCAAATTTTCTCTGGTTTCTACATGGATGGCAATGCAAATGAAGTTATTATCACTAGGAATTAAACCCAGGGCCTCTGGTTTAAGTCTTATGCTCAACAAGTCAAGCTGATCAAAAGTTTTTTTTGTAGAGTATGGTACATTTTGTGTCTCAAATTGAGATTATTTGTTTCTTTAGCATCCACAGGTAAAATTAAGGAAACAAATCTCAGCATATGTGAATTATATGAATGATGACCCTGCATATATATGTGATTACATAATATCAACATTTACAAAAAAATTAACTTTTTCTTATTTCTAAAGTTGTTTGATTTTCTGTTTTGGGATAAAATGTGTACATATCTCATGACCTGAGGTATGCATCAAGTGCAAGTTGACCAATCTTGCTGTTGACAGTAGTAGATTTATGCCATGACATTAATAATTCACAATGATCAGGAAGGGCATAATTGGGAGATTACACAATTTCATTTAATTCATATTAATTCTGAAAGTTTTGCACAAGAGAAAATATATAATTTTTTAAACACAATTCGTAGCTGTATAGCAACAGTCTAAAAATAGCATTTTTGATGACAGGTCGGCTACTTATCCCTTTTGAGGCCCCCGAGCAATAGAATTTCGCAATCATAATTGCAGTCATTTGGGCTTAAATGGTGCACATGATTTTCAAAGCACTTCGAGAAACCAAAACTAACCTGATACGTGTCCGACTGGTCATACTCGTTACAGGGCGACCCGGGCTGGCTGGCACCGTGAGTTGTGAAGGTAACCTTACTGAGGCCAGTCAGGTTCCTCCCCACCAACTGCAATTTCTGCTGCATATTCGCGTAGATGAGCAAATTGTCTTCTCCATCACGTGTGCTGCCATCTTCATTTGATGTAATTGCGTATACTTCTGGTGCATCAAAGCCCTGGCATTCTGCATGCGCATACTGACAAAAGCGTATCAAAACAAACAGCAAAACAATATATTTCCAAACAGTTTCATCCATATTCCGGAAGTGATGTCAAAGTAAATGTTGAAACCATACCACAAAAATATCCGGAAATATTTCGGGTCGACCGATGCACAACTAATATGACGTGTAATGTAAAGCTTACACGAACATCAGTTTACATACATTTTATTCAAACAGGAAATGATTACAGAGAAAAGTTCTCGGAATTCATTATCTTATCTTAAGTCAAACTTTGAAACAAAATCATAATAATTATATCAGTGCTTGCAACCCAAAGGGGAAGGTGTTTTTTTACCACCGGAAAACTCAAACAGAAGGCGTTATGAAGCTAAACTATATCCTTTTTATTGAACAAGTGACACCAGTTTTAATTAAAACAACTAACTACCACTGTTACAGTACTGTAACATTAGCTTTGCTCATGTCTCTCTCTTATTTAAGAAATATCTCTTTTAAATAATAAAAATTAAAAAAAAAAAAATGAAAATAAAAAAACTTCTCCACAACATGTTTATATGAGAAGGTTAATTTATTATATATCTATAAGGGATTTTTCCACTGATGGTATGCAAAGTGACTGCTTTTCTGCTAATAAAGCGGACAGAGTTACTTCCCTTATTACAAACTAGGATAGGTTGCTACAGGCGGTTTGGCACGAATTCCTCTCAAATAGTCCATGTATATTGGACATTGGAGTTTTAATTCGTGCTAAGACTCATGGGTTAAATATTGATGCAGAAGAAGGATTTTTATTGAAATGAAAGGCGCAATACATTTCCAGGGTATTCGGATTAGTGAGAGGGGTAAGACTTTCCGACGTATTCGGACGGTGAGAGGGGAAGGTTTGAAGGCATTTGGATGGACGGACGGACGAAAGGATGGATGGATGCTTTATTTCTGTCAACTTTACGCGTAAGTTTTATTGAAAGTGTTTACAAAGACGTTAATATTAGACATTAAAGAAAGGTAATTGTAAACGACCGATTCATAAAGAATATTTGTTCTTAAAGCTCGTGTAGTTGTAGAAATGATTATGTAGATCTGTTGGAACATGTAAATTAGAATTTGTCGTGGTCACCTTATCTTTTATTTCAATTCGTGACATTATCTTATTAAATTCATCTTTTGTTTTGGTAGACTTCCTCATTGATGTCTCTTCGATATGCTATCTTTTAAAACTATGTTTTGTTGAGTGCTTTAGCCTGTCATTTCGTTAGCTATCTCCACAGTTCGTGTTAGGTTATTGACGCCAGTTTTGTTTATCATCAACTGTTGACGTCTTTATCTGGTAGCAGTCCCACTTCTTTGTTGTAGTCTGTCAGTTCGTTGTGCTATCTATATCCAAAACTTTGCACAAAACTCTGCGACAATGAATTAATTATAAAAAAAGGATAGGAAAATTTTACATATCTACACGAAGCGTTTATTTTCCTGACACTTGTATAGCCAGTATTGTATAAAGCATATTGCAAGTTATATTTGTCTTCCATAAAAAGTTGTGTCGAATTAGGTTTATAAGAGTTGTCTTTCCTGGCACATGTTTACGTCATGTAGAAATCTTAGAAATAGTATAATATGAAGGAAATGCTTGCAAATGACAGGATGACAGAAATGCACTTGTTTTAGTGTTTGAAAATTTAAGCAATCAATGTCCATTAGGTTTCGTCACTATCTTGTTAAAAAAAACCCAAAATAAGATGTAACATTGTTACATTATAACGACAAAGAAATATCTACTTCATGATATTACCTTTACACATCCAATGTAATTTTAAACATGGTATTGCAGACATCGGGTTTAAAATTGTTATTAACTACTTTAACCTATTATAGCACTATCAAAAAAACAATATCCTTCAAGTTATCATCTTGGTGCTTTGACCATAGTCATCATCCAGATAACTTCACTCAAAATGTCAGTAGCGAGGTATAGCGTGTTACAAATCTGTCGGAATTTATATTCAGGGTGTCTTATATAACTGTCCATGTTTCGGCCTAGAATGTCCGACATCACTGTCGGTGGTGAAGTCTAGATTGTCCGACATCACTGTCGGTGGTGAAGTCTAGATTGTCCGACATCACTGTCGGTGGCGGAGTCTAGATTGTCCGACATCACTGTCGGTGATGAAGTCTAGATTGTCCGACATCACTGTCGGTGGCGGAGTCTAGATTGTCCGACATCACTGTCGGTGATGAAGTCTAGATTGTCCGACATCACTGTCGGTGATGAAGTCTAGATTGTCCGACATCACTGTCGGTGATGAAGTCTAGATTGTCCGACATCACTGTCGGTGGTGAAGTCAAGGATGTTCAATAGAATATTTAATCATCATTGCTTAACGAATAAATATTATTGTGATTTTCCATAAGTTACACAAAGGTTACACATGTTTGATGCTCGTTAGTTTGCCTGTCGGTTCCGTTGTGCGATATGAAATTGGACTTGTTTGATGCTCGTTAGTTTGCCTGTCGGTTCCGTTGTGCGATATGAAATTGGACTTGTTTGATGCTCGTTAGTTTGCCTGTCGGTTCCGTTGTGCGATATGAAATTGGACTTGTTTGATGCTCGTTAGTTTACCTGGTGGCTTCATTGTTGTTTACATTGTTCTCATTAGGGAACATGACTTTGATTACTTGGGCTGACCAATTTTTACTTGTCGGTTGTTTTCAATGAAGCAAAAGACTTTACCTTTCCAGAACCACTGGTCTTATTCTCCTTGTACTTCGCGTTGTAACAAATCTCTTTGTCAATCTATCATTTGTTCATATTCCTCCCTCCTCCACCTGTTTTTTTAATATCGAATTTGAGTTTTAGTCGTTGAACTTCTGTTAATATGTCTATATTGTCTGCTGTTTATTGTTGATTGAAATGAAATGTACTTTAATAGTGTTTATTGGTTACTTGGACTTAGGAATAAGATTTCTATGATATAAATTTCATTATGACTAAACGCCTCTCAGGATGTTCATTTCTTCTTGTCTGTGTCGTGACCTTTTAACATACGGAGGCCTGTCTATCAATGCCTTTTAACTGTCTCTCGTCTATAGTGTTGTCCAATACTGTACAAGCAATGACTCGTCGGAAATGCTTTTCCCCCTAAAGCTCACCCTAAATATTACACATTTTCCCAGAGGATTTTGATATCTGTAGGATGGTAGTTTATTCTTATCTTCAAAAATATTACTAATGCCACGACAATATGTATCAAATTGACGTACATATAAATGCTTCAACGAACAACAGCAAGCAAACAAAAACGACGGTGTACAATTCTTGAACCTTATCATACCAGTAACGTTTTTCATTTATATTTACAATTAAATAAATTATTTCAAAAACAAAAACAAGTCAAAGAAGAGGGGCTAGAGGACTTGGTAGCAAAATTCCTGCATCCCCAATCTATGGTGTTTACCTGTCGATGATGATTCGATAGTAAAGTCTTGTTCTCAATATCACTGCTTCATCGCCAACACGCGCCATGTATAATGGTGAATCCAAGTCAATCCAAGTCAGTAATGCCATGTTCCCAAAATGAGAACAATGTATACAACAACGGAATCACCAGACACACTAATGAGAATCAAATAAGTCGTACTTTTTATTCCACAAAGCACTAGAAAATTTCTCGATTAGATCATTATTACGACCGTAAAACTTCCTCATAATCTTTATCAACCAGCCTCTCTCGAGACCCTATGCTGTTAACTCGACTGTGAGTGGCCAACATCTTGAACATCATAGAATATTTAATTAGCTGTGATATGTAAACGCCAAAGGTTTGGGCTTCAGGTATGTTGCTATCCAGAAATAGAAAATTCACAATGGGGACGCAATAGAATCACTACACTTCCCATACAACTCGACGGGAAACTTTCGCTGTTGGTTTCGTTGCAGGAAAAAGTCAAGAGTAATAAGTACAGATCAGCAAAGAGAGGGGTACAGTTTGTTCCCATAGGTATGTCAATAGTCCGTTGGAAGATTGTGTTCTACCAAACTCGACGAAGAAATTTCTTTTTTGATTGAAAAGAAAGCTCTCATAGCAAAAGTACGAAACTATTCCTTAGGTTTAGAAGAATCTTTTATCAGAGTTCGGTTGAGAAACTCAACAAGCCCACAATAAACTCAGATTATAGAAGAATTTTTTGGTGAAATTTCGTATCCTTAAAATTAGAATGGATTAAGAATGATTGTATTACTGGATTTTATAAAAAAAAAAAAAAAAAAACCAACGATTTACAGTAGTTGTTTTCCACAGTAGGTCTTTAAATGATGACATTTGATATTTGCTGAAATATGATAGTAGGAAAAAGTTTGAGCCTATATTTTCTACACGTAATGATTTCAATTGCTTAAAAATTGAATTTGCTAATTAAAAAGTAAGCGATTGGACATTAAGCATCATTTTACCGGAGTGATAACATGAACTATGTTTCGGAGTGAAAAATGAAGATTACGTTTTAGCTACGAGAAAATGCGACAAGAGAACCTTACGACTTACCTGCACACGAATGTGTTTGTAGCAACAAGGTTTATATCATTCGAGTTGAGACAACATGCTGTAGTTCCCGTATATCCTCTCAGATCCAGGGATTTCTCAAGTCTGATCGTTAGAAATGTTTTTTGGACTGCGTAAATGTTAACCATATGATACATTACAGACCTGCTGTTTGTATCCAATGTTGAATAATATGTAAATACGATAGGGAAAAACGACAGTAACTGGAATTCAAACCGTTGTGTTTTATGGTACAATAGATCGTTATGACTAAATTCACTTGATGGTCATTCTCGCCTTATTCCGTGGATAGTTTACAATATCACAGCCTTTAAGAATATGTGTTAATTTTAAATTCAAATTTCATCACTAGCAATTCATACAGATTTCTACATACTACTAATTTAATGAATAAAGTGAAAATCCACTAAAAGGATTCCATGTGACAGATAAACAAAACCCTAACACTCAAAGAAG